ACATTCATCTGTACAAATAGAACACATTTCATTAGTTTCAACATCAGGTAAAGATTCCAACAATCTAGTAGTCTTTAAGTAACCGTTATAAGAACGAATCTTGTTTTTAAGAGATAAAAAATCCTCAGCTAATTGTTTAATGTAAGCAATAGGCAACTTAAATTTTGATAAAGATTTAGCATAATAACCAACAACTAACATCTTAAATACATAGTAACATGCATTAACAATAAAATCACCAATAGGATTTTCTACCTCATAAATATCCAAAGTAATCAATAGAGATGTCTTAATTAAAAATAAAAACAATAAGAAATATTCAAAGAATACCAATCCATTAAAACTAAAGTACATAATATCAAACTTACCAGTCGTATAATAAGCAACTAAAATAGTTAAAATACCCAATGAAAATCCATAGATCAACATCTTTTTACTTTTATACCTATCAGATTGTATCTTAAAAATATACCCGTTGGCTTTAAAAATATAAAGAATATTAAAAGGTATAAGATTTCTCATTCTTAAACAATAAGGAAAACTAACAGCTGTCATAGCTGCATCACTTAGAAACTCAGAAACTAATACATAGTAAAACTCAAGATTATGAATTTTCTTTGCAACAAACTTTTCAATAAACAAAGTATTTAAGTATTGAAGTAAATGACAAAAGAATGTGTTGTATAAGAAATTAAGTAATTTGTTCTGTTTAATCAGAGATGATTCAATAAATTTTCTATATTTCTTCTCAGTTAAAATATTTAATATAAACAGTAACATTCGATTATAATAATTAGTATTTCTTTTGAATGATTTTTTCATTTGATAGTAAATTAAGAATGTAACAAATAAAAAGCCATGTAATAAAACACCAATAAAGCTATCTGTAAACAATTCTTTAACTACTGTTAATACCACTCTTATCATTCTTAAAATTGAAGATACAATAATAAATCTCTTAGTACAAGTTCTTGCATCTCTCACCATAATTTATGGGTAAAATTTATTTAAGAATTTTTAACAACCCTGTAATAAATTGATGTTTTGGCTGTTTTAGATTGTCTTTGAATTGAAATAACATCATTAACTTTTGCACCCAAATATCTTGTTATGATATCAGTTGATAGAATTTTAGGGAGATTTTCTAATGTACAGCTGTGTTTTTTAAGTAACTCAGTTATTTCCAATTGATTCATAATTTTATGATGTGGAACTAATTCATGTTTAGTTGGATTAAACAATAACTCATTAAATAAAAATCCTTCTACAAATATATTTGCTCTCACTGAATTTAAGTATGAAACACATGCATGATTTAATTTATTATGCATAATAATAATAAGGTTATTACAACCATCATTTATGTTATTCTGTACAATACCCTCTAATGTACTC